TGATGATGATGATGATGATGATGATGATGATGTGAAGCACACACAGAATCGTGTGATAGAATTGCTCGCTATTCTCCGCATTCCGGTGGCATGAGATCCGAGAAGAGCTATGGCATCTGAATACCCTATATTTGTGAGCAAACACTCTGGGAACATTTCAACTCCATAAGCATTAGAGACTGGGAGTGAGTCTTTCACGATTACATCGATCACGAAATGAAAGAGGAAAGCTGGCTGACACTGCTGGAAGTAGTGGACTCAGGCGCGACCTCAACGTAGACCATCACATGTCCATCTTCACAGCGATTTGAGGGGCATGTAGAGAGTTATGTGTGTATGTATGAGGTACATGTTTACACCTTAGTTACAGCCGTGGTGCCCGGCGATACACGCAGTCAACGGTACCTTTAACGCCAAGACTAACATGTCGGTTGCTGGAAGTAGTCGGTCATCCAGAATCTGTCGGAGGGTGAAAGTGCGATCGGTGGATCCTGCTGCAGGACGGAATCCAGCTGGGTATTCACTGACGACCCTCTCTCTGTGTGTTCGGTGAAACTCCGAAAGATGATAGCAGAGAACAACTTCGACGCCGCATTTTTCAGTCTAATTCCACTGTGCAGGCAAACAACACTTCGCAGCTGTCCAAGCCGAGGAGGAGAGTTTAGTTGAGGTATCCCAGTTTGAGACTTCCACTCAAAAGTCTGACCCAGAAGAACGGGTTTTATTCTGGGAAACTGCACCTAGTCTCTGACTCAAAAGCCTGACCGAGGATGCAGAGGGAAGTAGAGTTTCCTTGAAGGATACCGCCCAGAGCCGATGACTTGATAGTCCAACTTGCCCAGCTGCAGGGAGTTCGCCTGTCCCGAAGACGGAGGGAATTAGTAATATATGCCATAACCCTGGTGCTTCCACACATAGTTGATGCCTTTTGGTCGCAACGAGCTTATGAAGAGTTCTATTTGCCTTTCAACCGTGTTCAAACTTCTCCTCACAGGTGCACCTTGTGGAGCTAAGTTCCAGCCAGTGCAGCCCGCCACTATGACACTCAAATCCAACTGACACGTCCATGTGGCAGCTTTAGTTTTGGAAAAGTCGGAGTTGAACACTCTGAATAAATGTCAGATATGTCAACCAAGTCCAATAATTAGTACTGCAAATATGCTGCACCAGAATGCCCGATAGCTTACCTCGTTTGTGACAGAAGTCCGACGATTTCAGCATACATGTCAGCTACCAGATTGACATTGTCGCTGTTTTGCGGTTGGATGCTGTTGGGTAAGCACAAGAAATTATGAAAGTGGAATTCCTAAGGCCGAGTGAATCGCGGAGGTTGCATAAGAAACCTACCAGATCGTATAGATTAGAAAAACATTCCCCCCACCCCAAGGTAACTAACTTCAATGGCTCAGTTTGTCAAATCGCAGTTAATGATGCGATGAACTAATTTGGCCTACACATTCGAATAGTGACTAGCTCTGAACCCCAACTGGCAGTTTCTGCTGCGTGTCCCATGAATTCCCGGGTATCATACAGACATACCAAATCAGGTTTCTACAAACTCCAATTCAGCTTCAACTGAAGTCACCGAAGCTCCCAGTGTAATTGCCAAACCTGTCGGAGCATTCCGGCTGCTTGTTTTATTGTGATTCACGGGTCTCAGTGACACCAAATGCTCATAAAGAATTACTAACCATCCACAATAGAAACCGGTCAAGAAACTGCACGAACAAGCAACGCTACTTATCTTGACTTGAAGGCAGGAGTTGATGTGGGCTACTACATGAAGCTATACGGACTGTGCCTAAAGCTATTTGGATAGTTAGTCACTTCCTGACTGACTATTTAGCTCAGTTGTAATTTAAGGGTGCACCATCCGGGTACGCAGTTATGGACTAAGGAGACTGGCTCGATGACGAAGATAGGATTGTGCAGCGCCGACTCCTGTCTCTTAAAAACGTGATCGAATTTATGTCAGCTGACTGGGGTTAAACAGGGAGCAATGTCAACTCGAGACAAACCGAGTACTGATAACTAGCCAACAATCTTGAAATTAATTCGGGCCACCAGTGAGCATTTGTTGATCTCCAGTGACCTAGGCAAGTCAAAAGCACCTCAATCGTTAGTCCCAACTTAGCGATTCCATCCTAACAGATTACTATCGCTCAGTCGAATTCACAACTGAAAGTGCATGCACAACAATGAACCACCCACCTTAGCATCACAAACAGCTATGCAGGTAATATCTTGTAAAAGCTCTTTGAACTGGTACCTTCGTGCTTCAGACATTAAGGATAGACCAGCAGATGTGTGATACCACTGGTGCTGGTCAATGACCAAACGTCATAGCTATTAAGGAAACATGTAGGAAAAGCAGTCAATGAAGTGAGATGGGGGAGAAGGATGTGCCAAAAAAACTCATCCTGCATCATACGGCAGTGAAGCATCAGTGACAACACTGATGTTGCTGTCCTTGATGATGATAATGATCATCCCGGTGGTGGGCATTCTGTCACTACCTAACTGGGTTAAGTTCACCTGTCGCTTTATCCTGGAGCTATGCCGGATGGGCTCCACGAGGGAAGCTGGGTAAATCCGGCCAACAGCATCCTATTCCGGGATGATGCTCAAAAGTGCAGGCACCTTATTTCCTATCGTCCCCCTTTGCACTAAATCATCTTCCTTCCTTTTTGTATCCACTCTTTACTAAGACCTACTTTGTACGCCTGTATGGCAATTAAGCGTCAGCATGTACTAATGGTGTTATTGCAAGTGATGAAGTCAACTTATTTGGATAAACCTCCACAGGATAGGGTGAACGAAAATTAACAGCGGCCTCGTGCTGGTCTGCCACAAACTCCCGAAGTACATAGGCCTTCGAACATTCAATCACAATCCGAGCAAAGGATAACATCACGGACGTCACCGGAATCGGTCAGCAGCCATACCATGGAATGTTTCCACCAAACAGAAAAGATTATATAGATCCCAATCTGGAGGCGGACAGCGCCATCGGTAGTCACATTTTTTACGAAAATAAACCAAACACCACGATAAGAAAGAAAGACTCTAATGTAAGAAAAACAAAATCACGACCCAACAGTCCTTAAGTTAATTTCGGCACAAATTTCTGTTCAGAGGGAACGTCTCTTTTTATGGAGAGACGGAACAAGGAAGCTTGCTATTATTTTATTCACGAAATACAACAGATTCGATTAGATCCAAACCTACCACAACCACCACCCTGTTTATCAACATTGTTTTCCAAAAACGAAAGATGATTTCAAAACTCCACAAACTGTCTGAATGAAGAAACATAAGCAACCGCAAAAGTCTAAGCTAACAAATGAACGTCACTCGCATTTTAGTCAATTACTGAGATAAACGTTTGGACAGTAATATCCATTACATTCCGTCTTCAGACTAATGCATTATGTGGTAAATGAGTTGGGAGATTTTGCAATTCCGAGGACTCACTCTTGGCGGTAATTAAATCTCCGGAAAGACTGTTCCAAAATCACCTCAACCTGATCATTGTGTCCGGGATGATAGGGTAGTTGTCTTAGGATTGACAACAGGACTTGACAGAAAATAATATCGATAGCAAGCTAGGACAGTAGGATGAGACAGCGCCCAACAAGAAAACCTACATCTCTCCGCTCCGCGAGGATGCGGACTTCTGTCGGATTCATACAAATAGACTTTAAGACCCCAACTCGCGCATCACAAGCACTTTTGATAGTCTGTTCTGGCTTCCCCATAGAAAAAGCTAGTTGTGAGTCCCGGTCAGAACTTGCTACAACAAAACAACTGTTAGTCATGCTGGCGATCTCAGCCTCGGTAGACTTAGGCGTCCCGTTCGACAATTGAGCTGATCGACGATGAGCTGCATATTGAGGGCCTGAAGAATGCTGAGACTGATACCACTGGATGATTGTTGACAATAGAGAAGGCAGTGCAAACTCGGCCGATACATAAAAGGCATCCAGCAGTTGGTCAAATGCAAAGTCCTCCGAAAGCCGCATGCTTTTCATCAGATTGTGCTCCTGGAGATATAGAGTGATGGTCTAGTTTGGAGGAATACATACCTGCTTTTCCTCTAACGCCTGCTCAATTTTACATTTTGCTAAGGCTGTGAACTGTCGGAGAAGAGTGCACACAGCGAGTTCACCCGGTTTGAAAGTAGACATTCTGAAGATTGTTCCTCACTTTAGTTAGATTATCTATAGTCCATTTACAACCGCAAATGCTGCAAATACAAGTGGAAAATGTTACTAGTAGACGGACAACTCACGTCGGAAACACCTACTATAAAACAAGCATAAATAATCCTTGAGTGCAACAACCACCTTTGAAAGTATTAAAACTTACGACGTGCCACGCGAAAACAAAAACGGCGGACAATAATAGCAGACAACTAATATCGATACAGTCTTATCATTAGGTATTGTTCAAACATCCAAAACATAGAAGAAAACGGCCACACTCGGTCATCATCGCGGCCGGGGTCCAGTTTCATGGAGTCTAACCCGATTCTCAATAAATATCCCAAAAAACCTGCACAGGACGGCTTTCCGCAAATTGAAAAAGGGGAGTGAAAACAAGCCGGCAGACGACTAGTCGTTTATCTTATGGAGTTGGCTGGACCACTCATTCAAACTATCAGTAGATGGAGTATAAAACATCTGTGATACGACTAAAAGGAAGACGGATTGAGCTCAACTGCAAACGCACTAGATAAACGACAGAATAGGAATAAATAGGGGAAACAGTTTGCTATTTTGTGGATAGTGGAGTTATATTTAGCCCTTCTGTCCTGATGAGGAAGATGCACTGATCATATCTTCACCCTCCGACAAATTCTGGAACAGCAACACTGCTTCCACCAACTAACAATGGTTGTGTTTCTTGATCTGAAAGTTGCCTTTGACTCTGTGGACTATCAGACGCTATGGCAGTGTCTATTGAGCAGTTATCCTCCATCAATTCTTGACCCGCCCTAAGGTGCTGTACGCCAACTTCCGCGGCCGTGTGAAGGTCTATGGGAGGCTCTCACCTGAGTTCACCGCATCAAATGGTGTCAGACAGGACTGTCCTCTTTCACCTTTCCTCCTCAAATTCGTCATTGATGCGATCATGGAAGACTCACTACCAGCCTCTAATGCCTGTGGGGTCGAAGTGCTCCCTGGGCGTCCGCTCACAGATGTCGAGTACACAGACGACGTAGCAGTTCTTGGATCTGACCCCGTGGTAATGTGAACGATTCCGCCTCACGGTTTAGCATGCGATTCATAACTGAAAAGTGTGAAGTGCTACTGCAAGACTGGGTGGCCTCGAATCTTAGACTCATGCTTACGGATGAACCGACTGAGGTAGTAGAGGAATTCGTTTACCAGAGCAGCAGTATCAGTCCCAGTGGCCTCGCAAAAACCGATATTTCCATCCGAATTAGGATGGCCAGAACAGCTTTTGTGAACCTGCGTCATCTGTGGCTTAGACGTGACATCAGCTTATCCGTCAAGAGTCGGATTTACAATGCTGCGGTGTGTCCCATTTTACAATTAGGATCAGAAACTTGGCCGATGCGCGCTGAGGGCGTCAAAAGGCTTTCAGTATTTGACCATCGATGTATTCGGAACAGTGCCCGAGTTTGATGGGAACATCGGATGAGCAATGCTGAAGTACTTCGAGTGGTATTCGAAGAAATAACACGATTGACAGATGAACTGATCACACTGCACAAGTTGCGCTGGTTAGGCCACGTGCTGCGTATGCCAGTCGACTGACTTCCTCGAAGGGCTTTTTTCGCACAACCACGTGAAGAGTGGATGAGAGGTAGAGGCAATCAATGACTTGGCAGCGAAGTAAAAATGCCAATACCGGCAAATTCAGCTGTGCTGGTCGTTGCCGTCTTCCTGGATGGGGACCCCAAGACGGGCCATATCAATGGTTGGAGACATTGTCTGACATGGCCCGGTCGAGCCCTCAATGGCGCTCATGCACCCAAGCTATTGCCTTTAATTCACAGCCCCCTTCCCAATTTCCCCGCTTGAGACCACGCACCAATTTATCAGCTCCCGCCTCCAATGCGCAGCTACCTAACCCACCTCCCAAAATCGTCAGTGAACGAAACTGCGGCAACTACAACACTGTACGACAAATACGCAGTTCTTGCAGTTGACTATCATGATGATGATGTTACTCTCGCCCTTGACAAAAAAATGACATTATGTCGGCGTCATCCGTGTCGCATTTTGGTAAAAGTTGTCCTGGCCTTCCCAATTTGAGAATTATTTTCATCTTCAGCCAGTCCGCCGAAACTTACTCAACTGTCCAGGTAAAATAAATTCATCTACCAAGTCGATAGACTCGTCTGAAAGCATGAGGTTAATAACGGCAAGTTACACTTTGCAGGTGTGAAGTGCATACCAAATCGTACAGCAGAATTATTTAGGTTATTTAAAACGGCTTGCGTTCTTGAAGGATTTGAAACAAGGGAAGCAATATGTTCCGCATATGTAATTTTTGTGAGCGGACGTCCGGAGTATTTCGACCCCGGGGCTTCAGAGGCAGGCGCGGAAATTTCAAGCAGCATATCAATGACAGAGAGGAAAGGCAAGAGAGGCCAGTTTTACCTTAAACCAGTGGACACGGTGAACTAAGGTGAAAGCTTGTCGTATACTCGTACGCGTCCACAGTTCGTATACAGTGCCCTCATAACGGATATAAGTTTGGAAGGTGTAAGGACGGTCAGGTCCTAACGGACAATTCTACCCTTTGTAATATTTCATTGAGATTTCATTTTCTCTGTTGTAGCCAACTGAGCCGCAGCGCCCTTTCTTCCATTGTTTCATCTGTAATATAGCCGATCCTCATTTGATGTCCTCTGTCTTCTTCCTTGAGGTTTTCCCACTCAAGCAAGTAGACAATCAATGTGACAGAATAAATTGCATCGAGCTCCTAACTCACTCAGCTAGCACCCATGGACACAACACTAAAGACGGGTTCCCCATGATGTGAATTTCAGCTGATCAACTTCAGGTGACTTTGGAACACCAGCAAAGGCAGTTTGAGCACGCGCAACTGCAACACCAAAAGCAATTTGAGCAAACGCAGCTGAAATCAATAGAAGCGCTTACTAAAAATCTGAATATTCAGGCTCCATAGGGCAGCCAATATCAACCACCAATTTCATCTGCAAACTTTTGCTAATTCTATCACCGAATGTACTTTTGACGCGGATGTAGATCGAACATCCGACTCTTGGTTCAAAAGGTACCCAAACATAATCAGAGTTGATTTCATCGAGCAAGAGGACCATGGAAGGTACGGCTGTTACTTAGGAAACTTGGCACATGCGACCATAACCGTTACACGAATTACATACTTCCTAAACAGCCCATTGATATCAGCTTCAGCAGCACTGTCCAGACCCTTACGAAAATTTTCGGCGTCAACACGTCCTTGTTCAACATCCGATACCAACGCCTTAAATTGGTCATGAAGGATGATGACTTTGTCGGCTTTACAACATTTGTCAATCGAGAATGCGAGCGTTTCAAGCTCAGCTATATGGACGGAAATCAATTCAAATGCCCTATATATATACCTGACATCCACTCCTCTCGTTACGCAAACATTCGGACAAGATTGTTGCACCAGCTTGAACAAAACCCAAAGATAACCCTACAGGAGCTCAGTGCTGAATGTCACCGCCTCATTCAACTGAATCAGGATAGTACAATGATTGGCCAAGCATCGTCTGGCTCACACGATATAGTGCACCATGTTTCCGGAAACCAGAATAAGGCTTTTCAGCGCAGCTCCCATGTCAAACAATAAACCTTCTACACGGTGTTGGTCTTGTGGTGAATGGCATCACGTTCGCTTTTGTCCGTTAAAGAAACACAAATACCAGACGTGTTGCCGTACTGGTTATAAAAAAGGATTTTGTTTCCCACAGAGAGCAAAGCCGACTGGTCACCAAAAGAACGAACGCAAAACGGCTGCTGTATCACAACGGTGTCGATCGAATTGTTCCTGTATCATTCAATGTGGATTTCGCATCACGTAGAAAATTTGTCACACTTTCCGTGAGTAATCACGCTGTTCGTCTTCAGCTCGACACAGCCTCAGACATCTCATGGATTTCATGCTCCACTTGGAATGCAATAGGGAAGCCATTATTTTCTGCTACCAGCCATTGTGCACAACCTGCTTCCGGCAACAACATACCGCTTACTGGTGAACTCACTTGTGATATGAACAATGTACGATTTAAAGGCTGGTCACCAAAAGAACGCACCTAAAACGGCTGCTGTATCACAACGGTGTCGATCGAATTGTTCCTGTATCATTCAATGTGGATTTCGCATCACGTAGAAAATTTGTCACACTTTCCGTGAGTAATCACGCTGTTCGTCTTCAGCTCGACACAGCCTCAGACATCTCATGGATTTCATGCTCCACTTGGAATGCAATAGGGAAGCCATTATTTTCTGCTACCAGCCATTGTGCACAACCTGCTTCCGGCAACAACATACCGCTTACTGGTGAACTCACTTGTGATATGAACAATGTACGATTTAAAGGCACTTTTTACCTCACAGATTGTCCAGATCTGAATTTGTTTGGTCATGATTGGATAGATCAGTTAAATCCTTACTGCGTTCCTCTACTGTCTGTATGTGAGAGCGTGCATCTAACATATACGAGCATTTCTCAACAACTCACATGCACAATCCAACCAAAATTTTCTAATGTTTTTTCAAAATGGTCTTGGATATTGCTCGAAAGCCCAAGCAACATTTCATTTGAAACCAAATAGTAAACCTGTCTTCAGACCAAGACCTGTACCTTATGCAGCTCTTGCATCTGTGAACGCTGAACTCGATCGTTTCCGGAATTCAGGTGTTAGCCAGTCTGTCAACTACTCTTCCTGGGCAGCTCCCATTGTTGTGGCCAAGAAGACGAATGGGAAGATCAGGACTTGTGTAGGTTACTCCACAGGTTTTAACGCTGCACTTGATTCACATCAGTGTCCTATCCCAGTTCCAGAAAACCTGTTTGCTAAACTCACTGGTGGCACCTGCTTTGTTAAACTCGATCTGGCTTATGCCTATTTACAGATCGAAGTTGCGAATGACTCTAGGGATTTTCTAACCATTAACACGCACTTTGGTGTTTTCCA